TTCTTTCTGAAAAACTTAACATTTCTTGTGTGTCAGGGCTACTGGCAACAAATTAGACAATTTTTTTTTACTGCCCAAGAAAGTCTTTATTTCACCTTCACCTTTTTTCTTTTATTTTTAGTTGATATGCAATAATTGTACTTATTTATGAGAAACAGACTGATATTTCAATACATTTATACAATGTGTAATTATTGAATCAGGGTATTTAGCATATCCATAATCTCTAATACTTATCATTTCTTTTTACTGTGAATATTCAAAACCTTCTCGTCTAGTTTTTTGAATATATACAATAAATTCTATTCAACCATATTTATACTACAGTGCTATAAAGACTAGAACTTAACTCCTGTTATCTAGCTTTAAGTTTGTGTTCATTAGCCAACCTCTTTCCATCCTTCCCTACCCACGCCTCTTCTAAGCCTCTAGCAACCACAATTCTACTCTCTACTTCTAGGACATCTTTTTTTTTTTAAATGGATACTAAGTATGCATGAGAACAGGCCATATTTATCATTCTGACTTATTTCACATAACAATGTCCTCCAGGCTGATCCATGTTGTTGCCTGTGACTGGATTTAATTCTCTCTCTTTTTTTATGTCTGAGTAGCAATCAATTATGTATATATACCACATCATTCTCTCTATCCATTCATCTGTTTATGGATGTTTACTTTGATTCCATTTCTTGGATGTTGTGAATCATGCTGCAGTAAACATGAGAGTAGAAGTATCTCTTTCACATACTTGATTTCCTTGCTTTTTGATAAATATCCATTAGTGTGATTGCTGTATCAGGTGGTAAATTTTTACTTTTTTTAAGAACCTCCATATTGTTTTTCATAATGGCTGTACTAATTTACATTCCCACAAACAGTGCATAAGTTCCCATTTCTCTTCATCCTCACCAGCATTTGTTGTTTTTGGTCTTTTTGATAATAGCCATTCTGACTGGGGTGAAATGATATCTCATTGCAGTTTTGATATTATGTTTTCCTGATAAGTAGGGATATTGAGCATTCATTCATATATTTGTTGGCTATTTGTGTGTCTTCTTTTGAGACGTCTGTTCAGATTCTTTTCCAGTTTTTAATCAGATTTTTTGATGTCAGGTTGTATGAGTTCCATATATATTCTAGACATTATTCCCTTGTCAGGTAAATAATTTGCAAATATTTTCTTTCATTCAACAGGCTATATTTCTTTACTCTGTAAATCTTCCTTTTTTTGCTCTGCAGAAGCTTTTTAGTTTGGTATAGTCCCATTTGTCTGTTTTTGCGTTTGTCGCCTGTGCCTTTGAAATCTTTCAAATCTTTGCCTAGACAGATGTCCTGAAGCATTTCTAATATGTTTTCTTATCGTTGTTTTGTAATTTCAGGTCTCAGGTTTAAATTTTTAATTCATTTTGAGTTGACTTTTGTGGTGAGATATAGGGGTCTACTTTGATTCTTCTGCCTGTAAATATCCAGTTTTCCAACACCATTTAGGTATTTTATCCTTTTTGGCAGGTATTGATTGCAAATGGGATTGCTTTCCTGACTTTTTTTTCAGCTATTTCGTTGCTCTGTGAAAGCATCACTGATTTTTGCATGTTGATTTTGTATCCTGTAGCTTGTCTGAATTTGTTTAGCAGCTCTAAGGTATTTTATCTTTTTATAGATTCAGGAAGTATATATGAAGGTTTGTTACATATATATATATATATATATATATATATATATATTGCATAGTGATGGGATTTGGGTTTATAGTTTACCCATCATCTGACTAGTTAATAATGTACCCAATAGGTAATTTTTCAGCCCCAACTTCCCCTCTTTTGGAATCCCCAGTTTCTATTATTTTTCTTCTTAGAGTTTTTTTGAGGAGTCTTTAGTTTTTTATATGTAAGATTATGTCATCCGCAAAGAGGGGCAATTTCCCTTTCTCTTTGCTAATTTAGATACATTGTATTTCCTTTTGTGGCCTAATTATTTTGGTGACAAATTCCAGTTCTATCTTAAAGAAAAGTGGTAAAAGTATACATTATTTTCTTGTTCTAGTTCTTAACAAAAGGCTTTTAGGTTTTCTCCATTCAGTGTGATTTGGGCTGGGGGTTTTTCATATATGGCCTTTATTGTATTTAGCTATAATCTTTATATATTTAATTTTTTTAGGAGTTTTTATTATGAAGGGAGTTGAATTTTATCAGATGCCTTCTTTGGATTTGAGATGATCATGTGATTTGCTTTTCACCTATCATTCTGTTGATGTGATGTAGCACATTTATTGATTTTTCATATGTTGAACCATCCTTGCATACCTGAGATAAATTCCACTTGATCATAGTGTATTATTTATTTGATGTACCATTGGATTCAGATTCCTAGTATTTGTTGAGGATTTTTGCATCTATGCTAATCATGGATATTGACTTTTAGTTTTGTGATTGTTGTTGCATCCTTGCTAACACAATAATCAGTAGGGGTTTTTTTTGTTTGTTTCAGTACCTTGCTTAAATTGTCCTTTTCTGTCTTGGCCTATAATGGTTCTGCTCAGAAATCTGCTGTTAGTCTATAGGGGATTCCCTTACATGTAACTTGATGCCTTTAGCTGTTTTTACAATAGTTTCTTTGTCTTTGACTCTTGGCAGTCTAAGTGATAAGTGTCTCAGAGATGACATTTTTGGGTTGAGTATTTTGGGGACATTTGACCTTTCTGGATCTTGATGTCTATTTCTCTCATAAGATTTGGAAAGTTTTCAACTATTACATTATTAAATAAGTTTTCTATGCCTTTTCTACACTGATTTCTTTCTATAATTCACAAAATGTGAGTATGAATTTACTTGATGGTTTCCCATGTCATATAGGTTTATTCATTCCTTTTTAAAAATCTTTTTTTTTCTTTTGTCTGACTGGGTTATTTAAAAAAAAAAAAAACAAAAAACAACAACCTGTCTTCAAGTACTAAAATTATCTCCTGCTTGATCTTGTCAATTGTTGAAGGTTTCAATTTTTTTAATTTTAAACATTGAATTCTTCAGTTCTAGGATTTCTGTTGAGTTGTTTTTTCATGACACTCTATTTGTTTAATTTCTCATTTAGATAACCAATTTTTTTCTGATTTATGTATATTTTCTATCTGTGTTCTTCTGTATCTACTGAGTTTTTAAAAAGATTATTATCTAACTTTTTTTCAGGTATTTCATAGATTTTCTTTTGGGGGCTCTGCTATTGGAGAATTACTGTGTTTCTATGGAGGTGTTATGTTTCCTTTTTCATGTGTCTTGCATCCCTACATTGATGACTGTGTATATGGTTAGTAGTTTCTTCTTTCAATTTTCTGGATTAGCTTTTTTAGGTAAACTTTTCTGTAGACATATCTGTAGTGTCATTTGGGTAGAGTGTATTGGCTTTGGTTCAGGTGGTTGCATTAGGTTATCTCTATATGATTACTTTGGCTGTAAATAATTTTAGCAGTGTCTGCAATTTCCCAAGAGACTTCAGGTGAGGTTGTTCACGGAGTCAGCGACAAGACTTTGCTGGGGACAGTGATATTTGGTGGGCTTGTCCTTCGGCTCCTGGGGATTGTGCATAGGCACTGACAGTGTTAGCAGTGAGCTGGTTCTTAGGGCCCCTGGGTGGTGATTGAAGGCATGTGGTTGCCTTACCACTGAAGTTCATGAGGTCATCATTTGTGGTGGTTCCTGGGTGGGCCAGTCCTTTGGCCCCAGACTCCCTGTTTTGTACCCCTTTCTATACCTTGTAATTTTTATTGTATACCAAATATTGTTTACCATAGATCAGCAGAAATTGACCTAAACATTATTTTTCTTCAATTCTGTATTAGATAAGATCAAGTGCTAATCATGTCAAGTCCACTATGAATCTTACTGCATAGAGCTTGGGTGGCAGTTTTAGATACACTTATAATGCCTACGATAGAATGCCTTTGATTTTAAATGTCCTAATGACAAGAACTGTTACGTTGCAGACTCTTTTGTCTGATCACTTTGTATTTATATACTATAAAACTGTTGGAGATTTTATTCTACCTTTCTGGTCCTGCTCCCTTTACTCATTTCCTCTTGCCCCCCACCCGCTAAGGGGATGTTTTTGGTTGAGAGCAAATGTCTTGTGGGAAGACCTATTGAAATTTTATCCTCGCAGTGGTAGGCTCCATCCATTCTAGTGTGACTTTGACTTCTAATCACCACAACACTACAGGGATTCTTATTTGGCCTATTCTCACGACTCCTGCCCCAAATCCTCTTATGTAGTTTTAGCACTCAGCAAATTTTTCAGGGAGAAAAATTACAGATCAAAAAAAGAGATAAACTACAAAAGAGATGAAAAAATTACAGATGAGAAAAACAGATAAACTGCAAAATCTGGCATGACAAACTGGATAACAGATTGTAATTTTGGTCTTCATCAGATTCCAGTTTGTCATGCCAGCTTACAAATTATTAAGAGCTGTACTGGTTTTTCTTTTCCTTAGCAGTGTCCTTCTTTCTAATTTAGCCTGTGTCTAAATGACAAATTCTTCCAGAAATTAAAATAATAAGCAGAATTAGCTAACTTAAGAGACATTAAGCTTCAATCATTCTGCAAATTTTGTTTATCTTTTTATTTCCATTGCTTGCCTATATTTTTTAAAATATGATTTTTTAGTTTATCTCTTTTTTCCTAGCTGTGACTTCCTACTGTGTACTAACTAGTAAATTGATCTCGTAAATAAGAACAAAATTTAGACCCATACATTTATTGTTTTAAATAATTATTTATATAGGGTTGGCGTGCTTAAATTAGTGGATTTTTACTGAAATGTTGGCTTATTTAGATTATTAACATTTGTTGCTAAATTTACCAGGTCTATAAATAAATCAATATTAATGTTTGGGGAAAAATTATTTAAAAAGCTACTTTCATTTCAAAATGTGTTCTGGTCAGCAATAGCTTAAATGAAATGTAAAAAAAATTAATTTTTTTTTCTTTTTCCCATTTCTATTTAGTGAGTGATAGTTGCTTCAGGAATCTTGCGGAAGATCGCAGTGGGATAAATCTCAAAGATCTCGTACAAGATCCTTCTTTGTGAGTATTTTGTTTTCAGTATTAAGTATAAATTAAAACTTTATTATTAGTGTTCGTTTTTTCAAAAGAGTTTGGTCTGAAAACTTATTTGAGGTACAACAATTTTTTCTTTTCTAATAATGTGTTTTCCATATATTGAGATCTGACAGAACAGTTTCTTTTTAGAAATAGAATAGATTTTAGAAGGAATGGTGTTATGATTAATGATTGATTTTCAGGGAGGGATATTAATGGCTGATGATATCTTGCCAATGTGGCAGTAAGTTTTAACCAGGGAAGGTGATTAGTGGTTGATGTGCTTGAGAAACAGAGATTGAATTTGTTTGCAACAATTTGAAGTTTTTTGAATATATTATTTATCTTATTTGTAATTATAAGTAGAAATATAAAATAGTTATTTGTAATAATATATATTTCAATATATTAGATATATTTCTGATGTTTTACATATGGCACAGCGATTTTGGAAAGTTTTATAGATTTCAGGTTTTTTTTTTGCTCATCATTTATATTCCTTATCAGCATATACTCTACAATAATGTCACTTTCTAGTTTATATATTTTTTATAGTTTTATATTTGCTGGTAAATACATGTACTATCTTCTGTTTGAATATACCTTCCCAATAATATCACTGTTTATTAGAAAAATAAATAATTAAAATTAGTTAAGCCTGTGAAATAAAGAAAATTGAGTGCTGCCAGGTGCTTTCTTTACTGATGTATATAATGGATACCATAAAATATGTCATAATAGGAGATCCGTCTTCCGTCTTCCAAATTACATGTAATCTACTTTCCCACAGAATTCACTAATAAATCATTGAGAATTTTGTGAGGAATAAACACCAGGCTATCTTGAATTTGAAGATGACTGATTCTTTTCTTTTTTTATGATTGATTGTTTAATGATTGACTAGCCATGTTAAAAAATGTTATCACAAGATTGCTGAAAGTGTATTGAATATTGAAGTTTATATATAATATAGTGAGTTCAGAGTGCATTTCCAAACCTATCTGTCCATTTTTTTTCTTTTCTCTATCTTTCTTTTTCTAACTCAAAAGGATTGCAAATATTCTTCCTCTTTGATTTTTATCCCTATGAAGATTGACAGTTGTCCTTTGAGTCCTGTGAAAATTTAACCAACAATGTAATTATTCTGTTTGGATGTAAATATACCTAGTGAGTAATATTTAATTGCATTAAGAGTTCTACTTTCCTTTTGGATGTGAGTGGAAACTTTATAATTTCCTCAAAAGACTTTGCTTATTTGAATGAATAAAATAAATTATTATTATATTATTTGTAAGATATATTTTAGTAAAATAAGAATGTATATCTGTTTAATTCAGCAATATGATGAAAAATATGCTTATATGAACTTCAATTATATAAAAGATTTGAAGAATTATACTTGAATAATGGATTATAATAATTAGTTGTCATGTTTTGAGGAAATTCATTGCTTCTTCCTAGAATGTAGAATAACATTCATCGTTCAATCTACCACTAAATTCTATATTTAATTTTACTATTCTAGAAAATTCATCTCAGACCACTTCACTGGATGGACAAAATAATTCTCAGAGTACCTATATTAGAACAGCCAGAAATATCTTTTTTTTTTTTTTTTTTTTTTGAGACAGAGTTTCACCCTTGTTACCCAGGCTGGAGTGCAATGGCGTGATCTCGGCTCACCGCAACCTCCGCCTCCTGGGTTCAGGCAATTCTCCTGCCTCAGCCTCCTGAGTAGCTGGGATTACAGGCACGCGCCACCATGCCCAGCTAATTTTTTGTAGTTTTAGTAGAGACGGGGTTTCACCATGTTGACCAGGATGGTCTCAATCTCTTGACCTCGTGATCCACCCACCTTGGCCTCCCAAAGTGCTGGATTTACAGGCATGAGCCACCGCACCCGGCCAGCCAGAAATATCTTAATATAGCATTATTCTCTTAACTTTAACTTGTCATTATCCTTTTGGTTTACTCTTGTATATAAGAATGTTAACATTGATGGAGAAAGAGTTTGTTTTTGCTCCTGCCTGCTTGGATTTCTAAGGAATTTTTTCTTTATTAAGAACTGTCAAGATATGCTACTGATTATTTGAATTCATATTTTAAGGATTTGTTTCTCATTAGGTAAAATCTTTTAGGGAAAGAAATGCCCAGTGTGGAAAAAGATATACATATACATATATTTGTTGTTATAATGGGAAATATTTTATTCTAAGTTTCTTTCTGATTGCAGTATTCCTTTAGTATATACATTGTAGGCTAGGATCTTTTTGATCTTTTTTTTTTTTTTTTTTGAGACAGAGTTTCGCTCTTGTTACCCAGGCTGGAGTGCAATGGCGCGATCTCGGCTCACCGCAACCTCTGCCCCCTGGGTTCAGGCAATTCTCCTGCCTCAGCCTCCTGAGTAGCTGGGATTACAGGCACGCACCACCATGCCCAGCTAATTTTTTGTAGTTTTAGTAGAGACGGAGTTTCACCGTGTTGACCAGGATGGTCTCGATATCTTGATCTTGTGATCCACCCGCCTCAGCCTCCCAAAGTGCTGGGATTACAGGCATGAGCCACCGTGCCCGGCTTGATTTTTTTTTTTTTTAAGCTAGGTGTCTCTTTTCTGTCTCAAACTCTTGACATAAATGTTCACTACTTTTCATTGATTCAGATATACGAGATAGTTCTATACAGAGTTGAGTTGTTTATGTTGCAACATTGAATAGGAAGTATATCAAAAATACTTCTTTATTTTACAAAAATCTCTTCCTGAAAAGATCACTGTCATTTAACTACTCCAGACTAGTCTGATGATTATTAAAATTGTATATATATGCCATTTTAATACATGTTCCAAATAAAAATTATTAGAATGAGGTGTATGTTGAGTGAATGCTTTGTATGTTAATGTGCCTGGGAGATTTGAATTATGATTCACCCACTTGAGTTGCTGATACTGAAAGGAGTTGATTGTAAAGAAGAATTAAGAATTTTAGCCCCAATACTATTAGAAAGGAAGACAGAACGATAGAGCAAGAAAAATTAGGCTAAGGAGAACCCAGGCTTATCTAGTCAATATTGATACTCAGAGTAGTGTATTCTATGTCTTAATTAGATAAATGAGCAGGTACAGAATTTCTGTTGGTAAAGTACAGAAATAAAACTGCAATGAGTTTTATTAAGAATATATAATATTAAAAAAATTTTAAAAAAGGTAAAAAGAAAAAACAGAATATATAATGTAAAACAATGTTTAAACCAAGAGTAGTCAGAGCTAGATGAGGGGCTTATTGCATCAGAAATTGAAAATGTGGAACTTAAAACTGACTAACACATACTTTAAATCTGTGTTAAGCTAATGGAACAATAATGGATACCCTGTAATTTACTTACTGTATAGCACATATTCCAAGATTTTACTGCCGTTGTAGTAAAACTTGTTACTGGGCTTGAATGAACTGAGTGAGCTATTATGTGAACATGACAGAGGGATGCCATGGGAGAAAAAAAATATGAGAAAGTTATGAATCTCTAAGCAAGACTTTTTGGTCTTGCTACTAACTTTTCATCTGTTGTAATAGGAGCAGAATGTGACTTGTGGCAAGATTGAGGTTAAGGGAATACCTGACAAGCTCTTTTCTTTGGGCAGTTATAAGAATTCTTGTTTCTATCATAGTCCTATAGGTGTTGAGTGTAAGCGCAAGTAGAAAACCTTGACATTTACTTTTTACTGATCAAGTGCCTAAGGGTTTGTTTGAATTAGTAATTTGCATGCATGCTAAATTTTAAAATAAACAATTAATTGTTTTAGTAGTTCATCTTCTATTTATGGTTATAAATATTTTGAGGTTAATTTCCTCTGCTGTATATATAATTTGTCAATTTGAGTTGTGTTATAAGAACTCTTTTTATGTAGTTATGCTCTCAATAGCACATTGAAAACTGTTACCAAGTGTAACTTGATGTTATCACTATATTAGAAACCTATCTAATGTGCTACATAATTTTCATGTTTACAAGAAGTTATTCTTAGTGTGATATTTTTAAGTGGAGAAATACATACTATATAAGTTATTAAATCATTTGTATTTCTTCTGGAGAGATGACTGTTAAGTACAAAAGAGATGCTCTAGGTAAAGTATATTATTTTGAATTGTATTCAATTGTATTCTCTATAGAGGTAATTCTTAAACATACTTTCAAATCTCCATTTACTGTGTGCTGCAGATAAGAGATATATTACCATACTTATGCTTTAGGTTTCTTATTGCTTATTTACAAGGTATCATAATTATTTGAACTCAGACTCATTTATAAATATTTTTAAAAGTTAGGAATCACAAAAAAAGAAAAAGTTAGAAATAAAAATCAAGAAAGCATAAGAATGACTAGATAAATCTGTTTTTTCTATTTGTGATGATCCTGCCAATTGTGTACGTATGGAACATGTCTCATTTAATTTGCAAAGGCTCTTAAAAATTTAGGACTATTTTAGATATGTGCTATGTAAGATGGCCAGAGGAAGAATTGTTTGATCAATTCTTCATAGAAGAATGGCCATCTCTGAATGTTGGAAATATCAGTCAGAATGCAGGGTGTTAGTAATTTTCCTTATATTCAAATAGGACACATTTTTCATTGTAAGTATAGACCAAATTTTGTTTATCCATTCATCCATCGGTGAACACTTGGGTTACTTCCCCTTTTTGACTGCTGTGAGCAGTGATCTTATGAACATGAGTGTACAAATACCTTTTTGGATCCTAATTTCAATTATTTTGGATATATACCCAGAAGTGGAATTACTGGATCATAGAGTAATTCTATTTTCATTTTTTTGAAGGACCACCATATTGTTTTCTGTAGTTACACCATTGTACAGCTCCACTGGCAGTGTTTCAGGCTTCAAATTTCTCAACATCTTCACCAACACTTAATTTTTAAAATTGTAGTTATCCTAATGCGCATGAAGTGATATGTTCTTGATGTTTTTAATT